TCCTTCTCATTATCATCAACAACATCTTCCTTGGCAACGGCTGTTTCATCATCAAAATTTGGGTATTGACCAATATCAAAATCATTACACGCAGGGTATGTTTCTTCTTCTGAAAAATCATCAAAATCCGAGTATTGACCAAGATCAAAGTCCGGGTATTGACCAAGATAAAATTTCGAATACTGACTAGTACTCACAATTTTTCTATTGGCTATTCATCGTCTAACTGGTCAATACGAAAACCGGAATTTGGTGCTGAAAGTTGATTGGGATTTGGATTAGGGAAAGGTTGTGGGTTTTGAGATTGTGTTTGGTATTGGAAATGTGGTGAAACAATATTTGTTTGGTGATGAAATTGTGGTGGAACCATTAAATTTTGAGCACCATAAACTGGGGTTGAAAAACTTAGTTGATTACTACCCGCTACTGACCCAACTTCACTACTTCTAGGTTAAACAACATACAATGTAACATCATCACTTGAAACACTAATGTAAGCAATGAATCGTTCAACATCTTCATTGTCGATTAACAAATAAAGTTTACCATTTCTCTGATAAGATAGCCTAAGTCCACTTAGGGGCTCTAAATTCAATTTATTTGCAACACGTAACATTAGAGTTTCATAAGTTAACTTTTTTAATGACAGTTTTAGTTGAAGATTCATGGGTAAAGGCATATATTGTAAAACACCATGAACATTCTCCCATGACCCTCCAAAACACAAATCTATCCAAACATGATCAACATTAGATGATTTCATTATTGTAAAATAATTTACTAAACAAATGAGCTGCGAAACTAAAACCTGTTGCCGGATGGAGAAGGATGTCGTTGGATATAGGAACGGATATCGCCGGAGAGAGTGATAGATGGAGATGGAATGAGCTGCGATTTAGGGATTTAGGTTATGAGTTGTTGCTGCTGCGTAGTTATATACCCAAAATATTTGTGTTGCGAAATTAAAACCTGTTGCGAATTCAGAAATCGAGTTGCGAATTTGAAATTCAGTATTGCGATAGTTAGAATCTCGTTGCGATTTATAGATTCGCGTTGCGATTTACGTAATCGCGTTGCGATTTACGTATTCGCGTTGCGATTTACGTAATCGCGTTGCGATTTACGTATTCGCGTTGCGATTTACGTATTCGCGTTGCGAATTACGTAATCGCGTTGCGATTTACGTAATCGCGTTGCGATTTACGTATTCGCGTTGCGATTTACGTAATCGCGTTGCGAATTAGGAAAATCGCAACGCGAATTTGAGAAATCGCAATGCGATAGTTAGAATCGCGTTGCGAATCTGGAAACTGATTTGCGATACCGGAGATTGCGTTGCGAATTATCGATCGCATTGCGATTTAGTTGGTCATTTTGGTAAATCCAAAAAAAAGTTGGTTAAAATCGTATATTATAAGGCATTTTTGGTCACTGAGGTTATTTTCTCTACTTTGAAAATAATAAATACTAAAATAATTATTTTTATTAATATTGAGAGTTCATTTTTACATTATTCGTTTTGATTTTTATTCTTCATTGTTTGGGTTTCTGTTGAGCCCCATTCTTGTGAGTTTGTACTTGCTCTCGTTGAATTTATTTTCATGTGAATAAATGAATTTTTATTTGTTCAAAAAATTAACACACACGCACGTAAATCTCGAAAAAGAAGAAAAAGGAAAAAGCTAAGAGGAGACGGTTGTGTGTGATAAAAAACTTTTTCAAGTCATAAATGATGGTCTTAGGTCTTAGCTTGCATTTGGTCCCCACAGCTTGCAGTATGTGAACCATTGTTTTGAAACCGGATCAGATCGGTCGGTTCAACCAGTTCAATCGAGAATCGTTGTCTAGTTCGGTTCAAATTAAACCGGTTAAACCGTTATTAGTGAATCGGTCGGAACCGTTGAACCGTTCGAATCGGACCAGCTGAAAACCGGAAAAAACTGGGAAAAACCGAGAAAAACCGGAAAAAACCGCCAATTTTGTGTTTTTTAAAAAAATTAAATCAAACGACGTCGTTTGTTAAACGAGCCAAGTCGAACTCGAGTATTGCTGAGCTCGACTCAAACTTTAAAAGTAAGCTCAACTCGACTCAAACTCGCGAACTAAAAATTATCAAGTTCAACTCGAACTCGAAATATAATATTGAAACTTGAACTCAAAAAGGCTTGAACTCAAAAAAAATTAGAAACTCGATTGAAGCCTAAAATTTGAGCTTGATTGAAGTGAAAGAATAATTCACTCTATGCTCACCAAAAGACTCCATGATTTTGAATGTCAAATTACCTCTATTATTTATAGAAGTTAGTTGGGATGCTCTTCTATGTTTCTTAGCCATGTGGATTGTTTTGTTATCATATTTGTACTCTTTAGACTTTGGGGATGTTCTTCTATGTTTCTTAGCCATGTGAGATTATTTTAAAAAAAAAATTAAACCAAACAATATCATTTTGTTACGATTGTTTTAGCCCCAAATTTATTTTTTAATTATAGTTATATAATTATATTTATTATTTAATATATTTTATCTTAAATATTATGTTGTAGTTAATTTGAATCATTTTTGTTTCACTTGATTTTATAGTTTTTAACTTATATATGTTATGACTTGCTTTGAATATGACTTGTGATATACAAAATTATTTTTTATTAAATATTTTTGGTATTTTTATTTAATTTTTTAAATAATTATGACGTCGTCCGGTTCTTCCGACCGGTCGGACCAGTTCGACCGGTTGAACCAGTGAACCGATAGCATGACCGATTCGCTAACCGGTCCGGTTCTAAAAACCATGATGTGAACTATCCGCTCATCTGTCAAATAATAATAATAATAATATACCTCCATCATTTAAATAAGGGTAAAGTACACAAATAATACCTCAACTATATGTATTGTTTTATTGAGTTTCTTAATTATTAAAAGTTACAAAATGATCCCTCAATTATAAGGTGTTACTTTAAACCCTCAACTATTAAAAGTTACAAAATAGCCACCCACTTATTTATATGTTCCAAACTAGTCATTTTCATTAAATAAGTTGAGGACAGTCCATTAACCTGTTGACTGATATATGATAGTCATTCAAGATTTTGAGAACATATTTTATCATATCATAGTCAACAGATTAACATTTAGCTCAAATTGTCGTCAATTTTTTTAACAGAAAAGGACGAGTTTGAAACATATGAATAGTTGGGTGATCATTTTATAACTATTAGTAGTCGAGAGACTCAACAAAGCATTGTCCTATAGTCAATGGGCCATTTCATAATTTTTAATAGTCGATGACTCAATAAAGCATCATTTTTGTACTTTACCCTTAAATTAACTGATATATAATATTATTATAATTTAATTAAAAATTTAAACGTTAAATATCTATTAAAAATTATCATTTTCATAATCTTATCTAATTTAACAAAATTAATCACAGATTTCGTTGGTCAAATAACACAGGCGGAAAAAAAATTAGAGAAATGTAAGTGTTGGAAAATTAAGTTGAAATCTAAACTATTTACTACAGTATGTTTGAAATACGTCGTGTGAGAATGGTGAGTTCTATATACATAATTAAAATTCATCATGTAAACATAATAAGTTTCATAAAAGTTTTATCCAGTCTACATGACGAGTTATTTTTATGAAACTCAATGCGTAAACATAACGAATTCCACGTATACTATATAACAAATAGCCTAAATCTCTAAATAAATTTTCAACACTTCCATTATCAAATTATTTTTCCCACCCATAATATTTCTAAATTGTAACGATCAATCACTACTAAAATCATTAAACGAATAAACACAAAATTAATGATTTATGGAAAAGACAATAATTGTATTATCTATTACTGATTAAACCATTATCAAAGCCCATGAATGGTTGCACTAAAACTTTGAGAAAAATCTTTTATAAATTTTAGGATAAATTACACGTTCAGTATCTCAACTATTACTTTATTATATTTTAGGCACCTAACTATATACTTTTTCAAAATCATACCGAATATTATATTTTTGTTTCATTTTGGTCACGCTCAATTATAAAATAACAAAACTATTGACGTAACATTTTTATCTTTTCTAATGATGATGTGGTATTATCTTATAATGACACTCTAGCATCACCATTAATTTTTTAATGGCGAGTGAAAAGAAATGAAATCAAAACAAAACGTTAGGTATTATTTTGAAATAAAAAATAGTTGGGTGACCAAAATGGAACAAAAGTGATAGTTGGGGTACTAAACGTGTAACTTACTCTAAAGTTTATATAAAAATTAGGGTAAAGTACACAAATGTTCATCCGATTATATGATACTTCTTTGTTAAGCCCATCGACTATTAAAATTTACAAAATAGTCTCTCGACTATAAGATGTTACTTTGTTGAGTGCCCCAATTATTAAAAGTTACAAAATGATCACTCGACTATCCATATATTTCAAACTTGTCATTTTCCATTAAAAATTTGACAGCAGTCTGAGCTGGACATTAACCTGCTAACTAAGATATGATAAAATTTGATCTCATAATCTCAAACGACTATCATAACTTTTCAACATATTAATGTCAAGCTCAGAATACTGTTAACTTGTTAACGGAAAATAACGAGTTTGGAATATAATGAATAGTCGGGCGATCATTTTGTAATTTTTAATAGTCGAGGGACTCAACAAAGCAACGTCCAATAGTTGAAGGATCATTTGTGTACTTACCCTAAAAGTTATTAAAAAATAAATCTAATACTAAATTAAAAAAATATTTACACTAATTCTCTAAATTCAGTTCCGACTTCATCAATAATCTCAACTCCTCTCCTTTTGATTACATGAAGACAAGTGTACCCAATTCCATGCATTTGCATATTGCGTAATATGGTTCTGTTATAGAAGCTAACTACCACCCCTCCAACTATCTCTAATTAACCCCAACCTAACTTCCATCTACTTTCTCCTCCTCAAAATAAATACCCTTCACCCTCTTCTCCTACAGTTCCATATCATTTTCTTCATCTTCTTCGATTCTTCTTGGCTAATATTATCAGTTCTATATCATTTAAACATGGCAAGCTCGGCGAATGATCGGAACTCGAGGACCGTTTGTGTAATGGATGCCTCCGGCCACCTCGGCTCCGCCCTTGTCCACTTGCTCTTACATAGAGGATACACCGTCAATGCAGCACTTCAACCCCATGGTCATGATGGTAATTAGCTACCTTCTCCTTTATCCCCTTTGTTTATTCGATTTTGTTTATGCATTTTAACATGTTTTTTGTTGGTAATATGCAGGTGAATTCCAATCAGTTGAGCAGCTTCTCCCTTGTAATAATGAAAAATTAAGGATATTTGATGCAGACCCTTTTGATTATCATAGCATCACGAATGCATTGAAAGGATGTTGTGGCTTATTTTATTGCTTTGAGCCTCCTTCTGATCATTCTACCTATGATGTATGTTTCTTTGTGGTTTATTTCCCTATTAGATAGGTTCATCGCATGTGGCAGAAGAATCATGCATGTGGAACTTGCTTGGTGCAGGAATTCATGGCGGAAATTGAGGTGAGAGCTGCACACAATGTGTTGGAAGCATGTGCTCAAACAGATACAATGGAGAAAGTGGTGTTCACATCCTCCGTGACCGCTGTCGTATGGAACGAAGGTCGGTACACGGCGTCGTCCGACCTCGACGAAAAGAACTGGACCAACATCGATTTTTGCAAGAAGTTCAAGGTAAGCTAAATAATCTTTTATCTTCCCATTTGAAACCAGATTTAGTTTCTTGGGAAAAAATTGATCCTTGGACTCGAATTCGGAGCAGTTATGGCATGCACTATCGAAAACTCTAGCCGAGAAGTCGGCTTGGGCACTGGCGATGGACCGAGGCATAAACATGGTGACCATTAATGGAGGATTGTTGATGAATCCCGACCTAAACATCACCAACCCTTATCTAAAAGGAGCAGCTGAGATGTATGAAGATGGGGTATTCGTTACAGTGGATCTGAGGTTCATTGCCGATGCTCACATTTGCGTGTTCGAAGACATCTCGTCCTACGGCCGATATCTATGCTTCAACCATGTGATCAACTGCAGCCATGATGCTGATAAACTTGCTCAGATGCTATTACCTTCCTCTGATTCTTCACCTCCTCAAAGGTTAGCAATTACCTTCTGGTTTCATATGGATAGGTTGAATTAATGATTGTGATTGATTTATATCTACTTTGTGGCTGCAGTTGGGAGAAAACAAGAGTCTATCAACAAAGAATAAGCAATAGGAAGTTGAACAATTTGATGGAATTTGAGAATGAACAAGTTTTGAGCAATTGAGATTAGGATTGCTGTTATGTTATTATTATTATTTTTAGATGTTTTCACTGTTATGTTTTGAAGATATATGTATTGAATTCAGTATATTTTTTTTAAAAAAGAAAAGAAGTCTGTGTAAGGTAGGTTATATATTTAGCATCATGTATTCATACCCTCCCAATTATATTCTTTAAAGAAAAGGGAATGACAACGATTTTTTTAAAGAAGTTTGCTTAGTCTCAAGGCTTGTCGTTGTTTTTTTTCCTTGTAGTTTCTATGGTTTCGTCATAATTAATTTGGATCGACTCGGATCACACATCTAACTTTGAGTAAGAATTTTCTACATACACAAAGACTCGAACTCGAGATCTGTTTAAGCATATCAAGCTGCTTATCATTTGAACCAACCAATTCCCAAGTCTTTCTGGCTAATTCGAACCTACACAAGTCACACATTTGGTTTTGGTGGGTGTCTCCAGCAGAAATTTTCTACGTACACAGAAACTCGAACTCGAGACCTATTTAAACGATATCAAACTACTTACCACTTGAACCAACCAACATTGGCTGGTCTTTTAAGTCTCAGATTATATTATATATATCTCCAGCTGGGAATATCACGGCAAATTTGATTATAATATATCTTCAAAATTGATTCATTATTTTATACATTGAATCCATTGGCCTGCAAGCATATAATAAGCCTTTGCATCTGTAACCAAATTCTTTAATCAAATTGTCATTCCATTTTGGCTAGTTTGATCTTCTTCTTTTTCTGCACAATGCCAAAAACATCCCAATATTTATCAAAATAATCATTTTAGTCCCTATTCCTCTTTTTGGAACATTTTAATCTCTAACGTTTCATTTTGGAACAAAAATCTTCCTCTATAAATGAAAATTATTAGTTAAAACATGATTAACACTCCAAAATGAGAGTCATTTTTAACCTAAAATGAAACGTTGAGGGATAAAATGTTCTAGAAAAATGAATTAGGAACAAAGTAATTATTCTATCAAATGTTGGAAGTTTTTTTATCCTAAAATAAAATCTTAGGGGCTAAAATGCTCCAAAAAAATAGAATAGTGAGCAAAATAACCATTTTAGTAAACGTTGAAAGCTATTTTTGGTATTATGTTTTTTTTTTTTTTACATTTCACCTATTGACAGGAATAAATTACTGTTGCACATCATAAACAAACTATGGAATCTGCATAAGTATCTAATACTAAGCATTTTCTGGAGAAAAAAATGTAATTTTACATCGACTTTTCATGAGTTGTTCCTCTAACAGCTAGCTTATGAATTTCCAACTATGACATTAACTTAACCAAAGATTATATATGTGTGTTCTTAATTCAAAGGATACATCCTCAGGCACTTAGAGATAGAGACGTGATCGAAGAAATCTTGAATTTGTGGACTTTAGTAGAATTTTGAGGCTGGAATACGACCTCTGTACTCGATCCTACAGTTACTTCCTCCCACTCGGAAGCCGAAGCTCTTGCACTTCGATAATCTCGAGGACAGTACAAAACCTGAAGCTTTGAATGGGCTTCATGAACAAGAAAATCCGAGTATAAGATGATTGCACAAGAATATGGCAATACAGCTAACCATTAGATAATGTCTACACATCAAGTGCAATGCCTATGCCGTAATCTTTATGGTACTCCAATGTCAAGTCTTGTTGGGAAAAGGGGAAAACCAATGACAAGTATCATACAAGCACAGCAAATCATTAATGACGACCATGGAAGAAATTTTTTTTTGAATAGTCTAGGGTGATTACAAGATAGTATATGTCCAGAATCTTTCTTAACCGTTGACGACACGCACACACCCTACAGATGCAGCTGCTCGAACTTAGGACCTCTAGAGAGAACGACACTCCCTTTAACCACTAAGTCCACTTGATGGATTCGACTATGGGAGAATCTTAAAGAGCTTTTAGCCCATAAGAAACAATATATATTTTAAAAGAAGCAAACAAGACTAAAAATTGCAAGATGACAACAAAATTATTAGGATTACCTAATCCAAACATGCTAATCTTCTTTTGGATGATAAGGCGACTAACTTTTGATCTTTTGATAATTCTCAAAGGTAGGATATCCTCTTGCTTCCCTTTAAATTCCAGAAATTCTCCAAGAACATACTTGTTATCTTCAAGCTCCATCCTGCACATATCATGGGAAATCAAGTTTTCTCACGCTTAAATTGCTGATGATGAGAATATAACATTCAAAAGAATCTTAAATCCACTCATATAACAAATAATTTCATCTTCCTATATGACTGCAAAAAAAGAACTCAATTCCTACTTAATCCCTATTGCTTAATTCAAAATTTCTTGAGTTAGATATTCTTTGCATTATCATTTTATTTACTAGTGTCTGAAAGATGGAAAATCTTGTAATTAGTTCAGAGAAAACAAAGTGAAATTACATAACAGATTTTAAGTGTCATATGGAAAGGGACATAATCAAAATTATAGACCGAAAATGACATGATATGGATAATATATATTGTGTATATATATATAATCCACTATGTGAATGAAGTTATGATCAGAATTACTGGCACATTAAGTTACAAACCTGTCCCACGTCGGAGCTGTGCTGAGAATAAAGTTAAGATGTTCATGAAAAGATTCCTGCATCTCCTTCTTCCCACCACGAAAGGCACTTTTAATCCATCCAGGAAACATGCTTTTCGGTTCTGGTTTTAATTGCACCCAATGGTCATAAGTGATAACCTCGGATGGAAATTTTTTATAAAAGGTACTGCAAATGAAATCTATTTAGTACATAGTCTTATAAGGATTTTCCTATTAAAAGGAAGGGGGATAGTTATTCAGTAAATACCGGAATTTTGGATTCGGAATTACAACTTTGTACGAAAAATATCCTTCTGGTACAGTAACTCCCCTTTGTTCAATATATGATTCAAGTACTGAAGCTTGTTCTTTAGCCTTTGAAACCTGAAACAACAGATAGTTTATAATTATCTTCACTTCCCTCAAAAGTTAGAATGCTTTTCTATTGGCAAAAAATAAAAAGAGAATTTTTTTTCTCATCAGTAGCAGTAGAAAAGTTTGGCACTCGTATTAAGGCTTTGCTTGAACCTATGAGACAACAAATATACAGTCATAAATGCTAAAACCCAACTTGTAACTGAAAATTAAGTTTTGGAAAACCAGAACAGAGGTGAAAGTTGAAACTGATCAAACTTCCAATTGTGCTCCAACAGGTTGAACTGGCCGGTTCAAATATAGTTTTTTCTTTAATAGTAGTAAATATTGAATATTGTTTTTCTTTATACACTTAAGTTTACCAGGATGCCATTCGAGATCACTAGAACTAATGGTGTAGCACTACCAAAAAGACCACATAGCTGTTGGCCATATTGAATATTGTTAATTATTAACAAATATATGTAACATTGTACATAATAAAACATCAAGTAATTACTATCGCTTGATGGTGCTTGTCAATGAAAGACGTCTAATAACATGAAGAGTGAGAACTCAGAAAATAAATGCAGCTAATGCACACCATGACACTGAGAATATAACCCATCTAGAAAAGATTTTATTGGCAACAAACAGTCACACTCCTCACTATAAGTATGTGAACATGTTAGGACTGTAAATAAAAAGAACATTCGACTAATTGGAGGATATTGCATCTGGTAAAAAAAACATGAGTGAGAGAGTCAAAAACGTAGAGAGAGAAATAGTGTTAGGACATTCTTCCGTTGGGGAGAGTTGGACGATTTTCGTTGATAATCTTAGTAAGAGGGTTTCAAGAGGAAAGTTAAGGGAAATATTTCATCATTATGGTCAAGTTGTGAGGATTTTCATTCCAAAGTTTACTATGAAGCCAAAGTATACAAGTTCTACCTTCGCGTTTGTTCAGTTTGCAAGTGAGGAAGGGAGAAGGAGGGCTATACAATCTGTAGATGGAACTTGGATTGACGGGAAAAGGGTTACAGTAGGGATAGAAAAATATCGAAAAAGTCGGGATGGAGAAGATTTTGAAGGTAGGACTAAGAGGATCGGTTCAAAGGCAAAAAGGGTGGAGAAAACAAAAGGACAAAATAATGCTGGATCTTTGGGTAATTTGAGGGATAGTAGATCATACAAGGGGGTGGTGGAAACGATTAATAGAAAGGAGAGTGAAAATGTTACTGAGGGAGTTAGAGACAGAACAATGAAAGTCTGCAAATGGGTTAAGGAATGTTTGGGAGATGCATATTCCTAAGGAGGATTCGGACTGGGTTAAAAGGTCCTTTACAGGGGTAATCAAGCTTCCATTCGAGCAGGATTTTGTTCAGAAAGCTTTGGAGAATGAAGGTTTTCATGTCAAAATAGCGAGATGGGGTTATGCATGGAATGCCTGTGTCGTTACGTTTAATTCGATTGAAGAGTACTCTGGAGTATGGGCACAAAACCAGGAGGATTTGTTTTACTGGTTTGACTGGATGGCTCCATTGATGAATGATGAGGGAGTGCCATTGGCGTTCTGCCTGGTGGGATTGTCGTTATTGTGCTGGAACGGGGAGTTTCTGGAGAAACTTGTTCAGAAATGGGGGAAAGTCATTTGCATTAAAGAATCCTCAAAAAACAGGTCAGACCTATCGTTGGCGAGAGTTTTGATAAGGGTGGCGAGTCCATTTGACGTCCCGGAATCGGTCACAGTAGGGTCTTACGACAGATCATACAAAGTCAAAGTCATCTTGGGTTCAAAATCGGATTATTTCTCCGGGGAGAAGGTTGGTGAAATTTCAAAATTTGGGTACAGTGATAATGATTTTTTCGAGGAAGAGAGAAGCCGCCGACAGTCACTGGAGGAAGTTGACAATCACAAGAAATCTGAGGGCTCTAGGTAAAAGGTAGATGGGTGGCTTGATCAGGGTCAGAGTAGTTGGCTGAAAGAGGGGGACGAGGAGCAGTTTATTCCAAAAAAGTCAAATAATGATACCTGTAATTTTGGGTTGTCAGATTTTCTTAGAAAAGGAAAATATCATAAAGGGGATCACGTGGGTCTTGGGTTGAGGGAAGAATTGGGCCTTGATGTTCAAGCCCAAGAGGATGATAGTTGGAGTTCAATGTCAAATATGAAGACTTTGTGTCCTTCAGGGTCTGCGTATAATTTAAAGTGGATTGGTGATGGGTCCAAAGGAAGATTTATTCCCCATTTAAACAGGAATTTGAATAAGCCAAGGAATGAAGTGGTAGAGGATGGGGTGGACTTCGACAAGGTGGTCAAGAATGTGGAAGATACAGAGGTGGAAAAGGAAGCTATATCGGTTGAACCAGCTGGAATTCAGCCATTGGAAATTTCTAAGGGTTTGTTATCAAATGGTCTAAGGAGCTGGAGTCCTTTGGATCATTTGTCTAGAAGTTTGGCTATTAGAACCGTTCCGGTTGGAAGGTGGATTAGAGGAAATTGTAATAGAGTGTACAAAAGAACAAAAGTAAGAAAGGTTTGGTACAACCCGAGCAGAGAAGAAGGGTTGTTGCAATTAGTTGTGTTGATTGACCAAAATGGAAAAGCATCCAACAATATCGCGAACACTCATTCGTTTCCAATTTTAATGGAGGAAGGTAACATTTGTGTTGAGGAGGAAGGTGGTTCTCCTCCAAAAGAAGATGTCGATGAATTCAAGCACTTTGAGAGTGTAGAAGAGGTTCAAGCAGGTTGCTTATATGGAGCAGGGGCAGGGAAACAGAGAAGGAGAAGAAGGGAGAGAGAGGATTTTAATAAGGGAAGCATTGGATGTGGTTAGTTCTCCTACGGCCTACTCTCCTTTCTCGTTGTTTTTGGATGAGGCATTGGCTACGTGGGAAGTTTGTAGGATGCTGGGGATTCCTTCAAAGAGGGAAGAAGGCTTTTTTGGAAAAAGTAGTAAATCTTGAGGAGGGTTTGGGGGATAGTTGGAATTGTTGAAAGTAGCGGACTGGGATTTGGTGCTTCGTGGTTCAGAGGCTTTTGGGTTCTTTTTGTTTTTTTTTATGACAGTTATCAATATTATTTCATGGAACATAAGGGGGTTGGGGGAAAAGGAGAAATCCAGAGCAGTGTCCCGTTTGGTGAAAAAGAATAAGTCGTGCATCTTACTCATCCAAGAAACAAAGCTAGCTAATTGTTCTATGGCTCTTAGGGGAAGGATAGGGGGAATTTTCTTAAGGGAGGAGTTTTCTCATCAACTAATGAGACTGCAGGTGGACTGTTCGTACTGTGGAATGAGAATGAATTTGAAGTTTCCAATAGTCATATAAGTGGCAGATTTATAGCTATATTTGGGAAGTTTAAGACTATGGAAGATGAGTGTGTGATTATAAATGTATATGGTCCGTCCATTGAATCAGAAAAGGAAGAATTCTTCAGGGAGTTGGTGGAGTTTGTTTCTACTCAAACTATTTCAATTTGCATTGGGGGGGATTTCAATTTGTATCTTGATCCGGCAGAGAAGTTGGGAAGGTCTCTAAATTGACATTCTGTGGATATTCTTAGAAATTTCCTGCAGTTAACGAATTTAATTGATCTTCCTTTGGTGGGTGGAAGTTTTACTTGGTGCAACAACAGAGAAGATTCAACTTGGGTCAAACTGGATAGGTTCTTAATTTCTGGAAATTTTCTTACCAGTTTTCGGAGGGTAGTGCAAAGATTGTTACCTAGGTCTCTATCTGATCACAATCCAGTTTCATTGGAGGAATCGTCTGTAGAGTGGGGCCCTAAACCTTTCAGATTTTTTAATTATCTATTAGAGGAAGAAGGTTTTGAGGACTTAGTTAAATCTACTATGGATGGCTTGAGGGAGAGGAACAAAAGAAGTGGCATCTTTAGTATTATACAGGGAACAAAAAAATCAATTAGAATCTGGTCAAGCAGGAAATTTAATGGGATTTCTGAGTCGATTGAAGATTCCAAAAGGAAAATAAATGAGTTGGAATTTAAGGCGCAAGGTAGTAATTTCTCTACTCAGGAATGGGAACAGGTCAAGCGGCATAGATCAGATCTATGGAGGATATATAGGATTGAGGAAAGTATTTGGTTTCAAAAAGCAAGAACAAGATGGATTAAAGACGAGGACAGAAACACAAGATTTTTTCACCTTTGTGCTTTAAATAGAAGTAGAAGAAATGCCATTACTAGCTTGAAGATCAATGGAAGTGTAGTTTCAGATCCTATTTTGATTAAGACTCATATTTCTGAGTTTTTCAAGACCGAGTATAATTCCATTTTGACAATGGAAGTGGAGGATTTGCTTCTGGACTTTTCAAAACTGTCACTGGATCAGGCATCTAAGTTAGAGGAACAGTTTTTAGAACAGGAGATTTGGCAAGCAATTGCTACTTCGGACAACTCTAAATCTCCAGGACCGGATGGGTTCATAATGGGTTTTTTCAAGAAATGTTGGCCTGCATTAAAGGAGCATGTGTTGAAATTTTTTAAAGATTTCTAAATAGGAAATAAGTGGGAGCATGGGGTAAATCACGCTTTTATTACTCTAATTTCGAAGAAATTAAATCCGGAGAATATAGAAGACTTTAGACCAATAAGCCTTGTGGGCAGTTTGTACAAGATTCTATCAAGTCTTATCTAAGAAACTAAGCTGCTGTGTTGGTGATGTCATTAGTCCTTCCCAGTTCGCTTTTATACCGGGGAGACAGTTGTTGGATTGTGCCTTTATTGCTAACGAAGGGATCGATTATTGGAGAAAACAAGGACTACAAGGGGTGGTACTAAAAGTTGACTTTCGTAGAGCCTACGGTTCTGTTGAATGGACTATACTAATCAGAGCAATGAAGGAGATGGGATTTGGTATGAAATGGTGCTCATGGATCTCACAGTGTCTTTCCTCAGCCTCTATTTCGGTTCTTGTAAATGGCTCCCCCTCGGATGAGTTTTCTATGGCTAAAGGGCTTAGACAAGGATGTAGTCTCTCGCCGCTTTTATTTAATATAGTAGGGGAGTTGCTGCATTTGATGCTTTCTACAGCAGTGGATAAAGGTCTGTTCGAAGGTTTTGTTATTGGGAATTCTGAAAATTCATTTTGGTTATCACATCTTCAGTTTGCTGACGATCTCATCATTTTTTGTCAAGCTTCACTTACCCAGATTAAAAACGTAAAAAGAATTTTGAGGATGTTCAGTATAATGGCGGGATTGCATTTAAATTTAGCAAAGTGTAAACTTTTTGGGATTAATGTTGACGAGGTAATCCTATTTGATTGGGCGTTGGAAGTGGGTTGTACAGTTGATCGTTTTCCAACAGAATATCTGGGACTCCCCCTTGGTGCTAGGAATAATTCGGAAGCTTTATGGGAGCCAGTAGTTAAAAATTTAATTCTAAACTAGCTGGGTGGAAAGCTTCTTCTCTTTCTTTGGCTGGTAGGGAAGTCCTATTGAAGTCTGTGTTATCTTCCCTGCCCATTTTCTTCTTATTGTTTTTTAAGATGCCTTGCAAAGTAGGCAAGAAGTTAAATTCTCTAATGGCTAAATTTTTTATGGGGTGACAGCGAGGATAAGAGGAAGATTCACTGGGTTAATTGGAGTTCAGTTTGCAAACCTATGAGCAGTGGTGGCCTTGGTGTTCTTGATTTGAATCTTACGAATCGAGCACTATTGGCGAAATGGGTGTGGAAGTTCGCAAATGAAAAGAATTCCATATGGAAAAGAGTGTTATGTAGCAAGCACAAGATCAGTTGCAACTCTATGTCTATCAGTAAGGTTATTTCACCTACATCTTCTTGGATTTTGAGAAGTATTGGCAACAATTTTTGGAAGAATGATTCGGTGGGTATTTGTCTTAGATCATATTCGAAGCTGCAAGTTGGTAATGGAAAGTCTATTTATTTTGGATTGATCGTGGATGGAAGAGGTTCCTCTAAAAAATCTGTTTCCGAGAATTTATGCATTATCTCCTAACAAATGGGGCAAGGTTGCTGAATTTGGCAATCATGAATCAAATTGTTGGGTGTGGAATATTTGCTAGGAGGAATTTGTCTAATTGGGAATTGGATCAATGGATGGATTTGATGTTGAAATTGAAGGATATAAAAATTTCAGACTCTGTAGAGGATAGTCTCTCGTGGTCAGCTAGTGAGGATGGATTATTCTGGTCAAATCTTGCAGGGATGCGCTCGGGAAGGAAGTTGGGAATAATGATATGTGGTCAAAGGGGGTGTGGTTGGGACTGTCCCCACCAAGGGTTGAAGCTTTTCTTTGGCAGTTAGCTCATCAGAAAATGGCAGTAAAAGTGGAGTTGGTTAACAGAGGAATGTCCCTAGGTGAAGATATCATTTGCCTATTTTGTAAGAAGCATGAGGAATCAATGCAACATTTGTTTATTACGTGTAATGTAGTATGGGAATTATGGAATAAGGTAGTAAGCTTTTGGGATTTATCTGTAGTTTTACCAAAGGACCCTCCTTTACTTATCTCGTGGGGGAATTTGAGGGTGAATTCATTGATTTGGAAGTTTATCCGGGAGTTATTTTTTGGTCTATTTGGAAAGCAAGGAATGAGATTGTGTTTGAAAGATTATCTCTGATAGGCTTTCTTTGTTTTTCATTGTAAGATTTAGGTTATCCAAGTGGTTTAAAGCCAAGTATCCCAAAATTCCTATACAGGAGGATTTGCTCATTGGGGATCCTTCACTTGCAGATGGAAATTTGGTTTCTGAATCGAAGGATCGCTCTGTGCTTTGCTGGCTTCCCCACCTGTTGATTTTTGAAGATGAACGTCGATGGAGCTGTAAGGTTAAGTGACTCGGTTGGAGGTATTGGAGGTATCCTAAGGGATTGGAATAGCTGCACTCTTTTGACTTTTTCAGAGAATATCGGTCAAGTTCCCCACCAGTTGTGAGTTAAAGGCTATTAAAAGAGGCATTGAAATCTTTTTGGCATCACGATGGTTTTCTGTCACTAGGTTGATTGTTGAGAGTGATTGCAAGTCAGCAGTGGAGTGGGTTCACTTTCTGGCTTTGGCACTTGTTTTCTTATTGCCTCTAGTTAAAGAAATTCTATCACTCTTCTCTAAAAAGGTGTTGTTAATTAGGTTGATTCCAAGGGCCTGTAATGGGGAGGCAGATAGTTTAGCAAAGATGGGGATTGGTTGATTGTAATACTACAGTTGCTTGTTATTTTCCTTCTCAGTTAGTAGGTTTTTCAAGTAGGTGGAGTTTTTAAGTTTTATGTCAGGATTTCTGGTGTAATTGTTAAGTTTATGTAATTTTGGTTCAGCAATAAACCGAGGCACTCTTTTCCTCCCTACAATAGTGGATCCTTTCTGCTGGGAAAGGGCTATCTATGAGGAAGGTTTTTAATGAGGCCTTCTATTCCTATAAAAAAAAAGAACATTCGACAAACAATTTGATTTCTACTTGTTTATCAAGCTAAATAAACAAACATGATCCAGATTTTGAGACTTGTTTATTAAACAAACCAAACACAACAAGGCATGTTCAATTCATTTATGTTCATGAACAAGCTCGTTTATGCTAGTTTAAAGCTTGTTTAAGAACTCATTTAAGACTTGTATATTATTTGATTGTTATATAATCAAAGATATTATTGTTTGGTGTTTATTTTATTTATTAATGATATAATTATTAACATTTATGTTTGGATATTTTGTATCATAAATATGCATATTTATGGTTTGCTAGTTGATTATTCATGAACATAATTTTAATTGTTCACAAACATGTTATATCATATCTTCATGGGCATGTTCGTTTAATGTGCACCATGCTCATTTAATTTAAACAAACAAACACAAAAACATATAATTTGAAACAAACAAGTACTAACACAATTTTAAAATTCTTCACTGAATATGAACAAGCTTAAAATAAACAAACAAACATGAATGGAAGCACATTCGTTTAAGCTCAGTTAATTTACAAACCTAAACATGCCATATATATTGAGTTCCTGAAGAAGCAGATATGAACATGGCGACTTACAGGATCAGGATGGCACACAGCCTTGGTACTGCCACCATCACAAGTCCAGCTAAAGTCCTCATTTACAGAAACGAAGCCTGCTAGATTTTTGACAGAAATAACTGCTGCTTCTCTGCACAAATGGATTAAATTTCAAGAACTAAAATTAAAAAAAAAAAGTACCAGAAAATGAGCATCAAGGAGAACTCCAGTGATAACACAATCGTATCTTTGCAACACTAAACAAAGATGAAAATAAGTAAAAGAACTTAAATGACTATAATTCCCATTCTCAATTATATTTTGATCTTTCTATACAATAGATACTAACATTTTCTAAGAGAATGCAATGAAGCTTGAACATTTTCTAAGAAAATGCAATGAAGCTGAAAAAGCATAAACATATTACCCTTTAGTAACAAGAACAATATCTATATTCTGTAGAGAACCAGTGTCAGCATCCGGAATACGAAGCCCCGCGTACACCTTTCCACCATAAAGCTGTTCAAGTCTACAATGAAGTTGCATCAAAAGATGCAGTTAATAAAGATGTGGGAGAATTTGATTATGGCCACATGGATTTACCAAAATACTCTGTTTTAAATTTAAAATTAATGTCAATTTTGATCCCAAATAAGCTAACAAAGTAACCTAATATAATTTGTGATTGGTGCTTCTGCTACTTGATTTTTTTGCTATACCAACAATAAAAGAAAATTTTCCATGTAACAACAATAATTGTTCCCACTCCACATAACAGTAAAATCATGAACTTCATTACTCCAAAGATTTAAAATATTAATTTTAATTGTTCACATTCAAAAGAATTCTCCCGTTTCACTTCAAAACCCGAGAGAAATTTGAAAAAGACAAACAAAAAACAAGTGTAAATTCACAGTTTTTCAACCGGAAAGAAATGAATATACTGGAAAGATCTTTCTAAGAATTCAATTTTCCATGAAACCAAACAAACCATAACAGCCTAATACTTAGTCAATCAAGCTCAGCTCAGTAACAAGCTAAACTAAAATCAATAAAGTTCCACTCTTTTTATTTCAAATTAGAAAATCATGAAAATAACAAGAAAAAGAACGAAATTAGGGGGGAAATGTTGAAATTGTAAAAGTTGTACCTATTAGCGACGGAGAAAATGGCATTGAAATCAGAGGTTTCCAAGTCCAAAACGTCGTCGGAGCAGTAGAAGAAGCGGCGGAACAAGCGGTAAAAGAAATATCCGCAGATGATCTCCACCCACATGGTAAACTGCTTAAATCTAATTTTTGTCGCCGGAAAACGCAAATTAACTTGAAAATGAAGAAGAATTGGAAGTTGGAATAAAACGCCAGAGGTTTTTTCTTCTTTTGGGATTACTTTTATTTTCTTTCGGGTAAACTATATTTAGTATCTAAATTATCATTTTGATTCGTTTTATACCTAAACTTTTAATTTTTTAAAATATACCTAAAGTTTAGCTTATATTTTATTTTAGTACCCGTCGTTAAGTTTTGAAAAAAATTAAAGTTTAGGTACCAAAACACTTTAGGTATAATTATTAAAAAATTAAATTTTAGGTACTAAAATGGATCAAAACTAATAGTTAGATACTAAATGAGTAGTTTACCCTTTCTTTGCAAAATAGAAACGGGTAAAATACGCAAATGGTCTTCGATTATATGATGTTGTTTTATTGAGTCTTATGATTATTGAAAGTTATAAAGTGGTTCTCTAACTATATTGTGTTGCTTTGTTGAGTCCTTGACTAATAAAAGTTACAAAATAGTAATCCAATTATTCATATTTTTTAAACTTGTCATTTTTATTAAAAATTTTGAAGACGGTCTGAGCTCGACGTTAACATGTTGACTTAGATATGATACTCGTTTGAGATTCTAAGATCAGATTTTATCATATCTCAATCAGCAGGTTAACGTCCAACTTAGACTATCATCAATTTTTTAATGGAAAAGGATAGTTTGAAATATATGAATAGTCATATGACTATTTTATAACTTTTAATAATCAGTAGACATGATAAAGAAATGTCCTATAGTAAGGGGATGATTTTGTAACTTTAAATAATAGGGAGACTGATAAAAGTAGGGCCCTATAATAGAGGAACCATTTGTGTATTTTACCCATGAAAAAAAGATACATGATTTTAATTTGGTCTTCTGCGCGTGACGTGGGAGTAAAAGCGGATACCTCCGTGTTAGGAGACCGGATCAACTTGCTTAACGCCTTAACCACTAAGCAAGAAGAAATTAGTGTATATTACAAAAACCCATTTTTAATTAAATTTTGACTTAAATTAAAAAATGGTAATTAAATTATCGTAAATAAATTTTTACATACTAATTTTAGAAATTATACTATAAATGTTTTATAGGTATTATATTTAGTTGTGGTTGAATGAATGTTGTGACATATTAAATTAATGTAATATCTTATTTGGTCTTTTAATCGTAATTAAAATTTTATTTTAATAATTTTTAATAAAAATATAAATTATTTTGATATAAAAATTGGAATATTGAACATGTGTCTAGACTTTACGGTCGAATATCAATTGTGACATTAATCGTCGAAATGACCCTTTAAAAATAGTTTAAAGTTTAAATCAGTACAAAACATTGTTTTTGTATAACTCATTTATTTAAAATCAAAATAATAATAATATTTAAGAGTTTTATATTGGCTTAGTTTTTTTATTATTTGTAACCCTTAGACCCGACCGTTACGTTTCGACAGATCTATGTATTACATTAATGATTTCAAAATATTTTTGATAATTTAAAACCCTATTATAATCACACACTTAAATAAAATGTAATAATAAAATAAATCCAAATCGAATATTATAAGCCATAAAAGATTGAGTAAAATAAACCTCCCCTAGCTAGTATCAAAATAAACCAACTTTAGTAGCAAAAGCAATATGCATCGCAAAACATGTATTTCAAAATAATTAGGCACATGTCACCCAAAAATAAGGCAAATCAGAAGATAAAAAATTACAACAAAATGTACTATACGAATGTGTCGATCCTCCAAGTGTCAGGTCCGGGATGCATATCCAAAATATATGAAAGAGAGAATTTTAGGGGAGTGGCCTAAGGAGCTCAGTGTGTTCCAGCAGTGCAAAATAAAAACATACGTTTCCAAATCAGTTCAGTTCCAAGTTATAAAAATGTCAGTAGTGTTTTAGCTTAAAATACAGAATCGCCTCCAACCGACACCATATAGTTCTCCAGAACTGCATCCATAAGGACTTACCCTAGGCCCAAAGGGTATAGGTTCCAACCTAAGAGAACCTTGAGTTCATAAGGTCTTACCCTGGTCGAAGCGTAGGTGCCCACTTAAGGGGTATTCCTTCAGGCCCATAAAGACTTACCAATGCACATAGTAGAGGAGTAACTCTAAAGGAGTATCTTAGGGTCCATAAGGTCTTACCACTAGGCCCATTGGGCCTATGAGCCCCCAAGGGTCTCTTAGGTCCATAAGGAATTAACAGCTTGATCGGAGCTGAACCTGCAGAGATTTCATACCAGATCCCAGAATATCCCGAAGAAAATAGTTTTCAAACAGTAACTAACGGTAGCAAGGAAATCAAATTTCAAAAAATATCAATTCATAAAAACAATAACCAAATAACATGAATCAGATAAGCAGGCTTAAAACTTTAGTAAATCGAAAATCAAGCTTGAAACAAATAAATCATGCAAAATTAAATAAGATCAACTACCCATATTGTAATTTAGGTAAACTAGTCATGTGCACATGGTATTTTCAAACATGTACTTAACACACACACACACACACACCACACACATATATATATAGCACACAAGGAACACATCTTAAAAAAAGAACTAGTCTGGTAGATTTATCGAGCACCAACTTCACTACGCTCTTCGACTGTACGAGAACCTAAGTCATATCAGAACAAAATTATTATCAGAGTAGTACACTAAACTAAGTATTTAACAGAGTTACAGATACGAGTAATCACGGGATTGTGCGGACAGACAGATCTGGAGGAATCGGGTCGAGCAGACGAATGGTCAGAAGAGTCACAAGTACCTTAAATAAATGATAACATAAATCAATTATTGACCTTAAATTAAATTAAATGCACTTAATTAATTCACATGAATTACATATGCTTATTCGAGTTTAACGGGTCAATTCAGAGGCTTTCGGGTTCGAATTTGGCAATCAGATTCAGACTCATGACGTCGAAAAGATAAAATATGACTTTTCAAAAAAATTTACTTTGGTCAAAGTCAACAGTTAAACTAGTCAAAGTCAATGGGCTGGTCAACGGTCAATAGACATGTCAACGTTTAGGTCAAAGTCAACGGGTAAGACCTGTTCGGGTTGACTCAGGCTTTCGGTCTGAGTTGACTCAGACTGGTTTGAGTTGATCGAATCAGTTTTAGGAGGTTTCAATATCGGGGAGGAGCTTCATGCGTACACACGGGTGTGCGGCACATGATAGTGGCGACGGAGTTGAGGGCAGCAACCGACTACTCCTAGAGCGTCCAATCACCATTACAACCAATATTTAACCAAAAAATCAACCAAAACCATGTCAAAATAACCGCAATACAATCAAAACTTACCCAAAACCATGTTGCTCTCGATTCAAGCTAAACAGTGGTCGATTCGGGGTCAATGATGGTCGGGGACGAGTCACGGGAAGACGTCGGTTCAGCTGGAGGCGACATAACACTACAACAACGGCCGGAGCGGGATGGATCGTGGAGGGTCGATTGTTGGGATTAGGGAACATTTTGGGAATGGGTTCGAGTGTAACACCCCAACCCGTACCCGACCCGGATACGAGTCCGAAATGTCACATTGACTTTTTAAAATAATATTCTTACAAAATATCAAAACATTTGAACTTATATTAAGAAAATACAATAAATATTATTAAATTATGCTTCATTATAAAAAATTTAAGGTAAAAACGTATTTATGAACAATATTATATGACATGAATAGTATCGTGAACAGTACCATGAACAGTGAAAAATTTCGAATATAAATTTTGCATTGATGCACTGCTACAGTGCATCGATGCAATGCTACAGTACTAATACAGTAACTTTCATAAAACGTACATAAAACTCGTAAAAATTTAACCGTTCATTACTATACAATTATCATTTACATTATATGTTTAAAACATTACAAAAGTCGATCAGAGCATATATACTAAACGACTCTATTTACATGCCAACACATATATCACATAAATATACATATTGTGTAAGGTTCTTCCGATATGATCTTTGAGCAGAGATATGTTGTTACTTTGAACTTAGCTTCGATCCTCCTACTTCTCAGTACCTACGTGTAAATCACTTACACGCTAAGTCATAGACTTAGTGAGGCATAAACATAATAATAATGCATTTCTCATAAATATAAACATGCAATCTATGAATTCAAACATAGCACTTATGATAATGCAAACACTTTTAATATCTCTTTATCATATAAGTATATACTGAACATTTCTATACATAACATGGAACAAATATACCATTTCACAACTGAGCACGTAATACCATATCAATTGATTTATTTACTCTCTTTAAAGACATGTATTAGCCCATGTATACTTTTGAGAACTTAAGGTATGTGAGCACATTGAGGTTGTGCACAATTATGATGTCACCACAGCTCGTATAAATGTCTCGAAGAACCAGTTCATAGATTTCAAAGAACCTAGGTAATCAGTCCATATGTCCCGAAGAACATAGATAAACAGTCCATATGTCCCGAAGAACATAGGTAAACCCTCGACCCTTGGCATGCCAACTATACCCCTAGCTCTCATACATAACATGGGCATTATCATTTTTAATAGTTCACATTACTTATCATATATTTCTTATAAACACATATCTTTTAATTTCAGTCACGTATCACTTGTACGTGTAATCATTGATCTTATAATCACATGTTCATTCTCTTCTGTCACATACGACATGTATGTGTAAACATATATATCATATCATATCATATCATATAACACCTATCACAAGTGCATGTATTCACATAAATCATTTCTTAGGGTTTTTATCATTTCTCATTTGTTCATGTAACCTTGCATGTCATATCAAGTAACATATATCATAAGTTGCATTTTCACGTAAGCATGTAAATCATGTAACATATGATAACATACATCTATTTCTACGTACTAATGCACACATAGTAATCACATAACATTTTAGAAGTTACTTCTTAACATAGTAACTCCATCATTGGCTCATTGCAAGCCAATGTTTGATCAATCACATAAGTACAAATTAAAT